AAGGAAAGTGTACGATACGACGTGCAAGGCAGGACGGATTTGGCGCGGTGCCAAACTCGTTTTCCACCAGCAGTTGAAGCGAGCAAGCGACAAGAATATGACATGTTGTCGTTCGTATCAGTCGTTTTCCACAAATTGTTGCCGATTACCCGCTTCAACAACTGGTGAAGAACGGGTTGCCGCCGCGTCAAAATCATATTGTCTGACACGCCCATTCATCAGCAGCGAACAGTACTGTCAGAAGATGTTTGAGTTGAAAATATTCAGGAATCAGAAGTAACTTTCCTCTGAGCATGTACATTTTCGAAAGCTAATATTCGACGAGCAAAAACACGGACCCATGGCTGCGATTCGCGAAGTTAGTTGGCTGCACAAGTCTAACTAATAACGCCACGGAAGTGTCATTTATGTCAGGGGCGGAAAAACTTTTCCCTTATGAAGGGTACCCTAAGTTGCTATTTCGCACGTTTTTATGGGATAAATGGACTCTACGGGCATTCATATGGACATGAGCCCTGATTTTTGGAGCTTCAGAACTGAACGAATCAAAGATTGGAGGCGAACGGGAGATCAGCTTGGTTGGCATGGTTGGGTCCGTAAAAGGGAACAGCAAACCGTGACAATCACCATCAAAAGATTAGGTCGCTTGTGACCGCCAAACCACAACAGCCAACAGCCTGCAAGACTTAGACCCCCACTAAGACCTTAGAAACTACCCAGCGCAGGTGCCCCAGACTGGAGAAAACACTCTAGGCTATTGAGCTATGAAGATTCACCTCATCGAAAGCATGGCTGAAGGACTTGCCTACTTACAGGGAGAAATCTCTTAGAGTATTTTGCTTCCATACACTAATAATAAAACTGTTTCTGAGCGTGAAATGAGTAGTGCCTTTCTGTCCGCCCCTTATAATCATCAATGTTCAACTAAGTGGCGGTCTCAGCACTCAATCAAGAAGTGTGAGTGGTTACGGAAAGAACGTGAAGCTGTTTTTAACACATTCCAGACTGCGACGCACATGTTGTGGCACGACAACCCTGCATGCAAAAAGGCCGCGGTTACACGTGAACGCCACGCCAGCGTCGGTCCGGAACGTGATAAAGAAGTTTCCATGGAGAACGATAAATAAAAATACCTGCTTTGCAGATCCACCACTTCCAGGAACAAATAGCACAGGGATGTCATCGGGTGAGATTGCCCTGTAAAACGTCGTCAACGAATGTTTTAAAAGACTACCGCAATTTTCTGAGCAGAACTAGTACTAACATTGACTTTTCGTTCACCATGCCCTCCATGTAACGATATAAGCCGTAACTCCGGACATTATTTCCATCAACGTTGAAAGGCTGTAAAGAAACAGTTTGAATCAGAACATTTCCGTATCCTCCTTTGCTATTCATTGCTGTTTTTCTTTGTAAAGATTTTAAGCGCTGAAGTAGCACCTCAAATCGTTACTAGCGATCAGATTGCTTGCATCGCGCGTTCCAAGCAATCGGATGGCGAAGTATGAACGCGCTCTAACGATTAAGTACGATCCCTGAAAACAGTTGTCGGCTCGAGTTCGAGGGCAAACCTAACCTCTCCTCATAAAAGCACATCGATACTTTACTGACTAACCAGCAGACTGATGTATCTCCACATATAGGTCATATGGCAATCGTTCTTCTTGTGGAGATTCACATGAACCATAAATAAAGTTGCGGCCAATGCTACGGCGACGATAACGGAAATTACGTATACCATGATAGAATTCTAGCGGGTTCTAATAGAGGAGAGGAGCTAGTTTGTGTTGGCAAATAAAGTCCTTTAAAGCATCTGGCAATCTGAAACAGCCATTAATAGAAGGCAATAGTTTTCTATCGAACATCAACCAACTGAACGAATCATTAACGGACACAACAATATAGTCAATACATCAGCAGGAAGGTTTTTGATGAAAGAAAACCTAAACATTTCTCTGCCAGGGTGCTCACTACATCTCTCAGTACCCAGTCATGAATTTCCTTATTAACATTAAAAAAATACACGCAGTAAGCCAGGTCGCAGCTATAAAAACCAACACGTTCTCAGAAAACGTCGAAAGGAAAGTAAAAGTGAAACTGGAATGGAAATGGCATACGAACATTGAAGAATAGCAAGCGGCTGCGTGGCGGCGTTTGCATTTTAGCGCGTTATTGGGACCGGTGATGGTACTTGCCTGACACATGAACCTCGTTTTTCACCTCGTCCTACATAATTAAACAGATGGTGGGCGCACTATTCATTACTATTTATTGCATATGGCACTGTTTATGTATTCGTTACAAAGAATCCAAATAAACCAAATGTTTTCTTACCAATTCAGGGTCATGGAACAGCACAGGAGCCGTCAGTGTATGAGACTGTTAAATAAGAATCGAAGTAAATTTCCCGGTGTGATTTTTTCGAATGTTGACGTGGAGGAAGAACTAAGACATAGTTAGATAGATTGCTCCGCCGCCCAAAGCCTGCAGAGCATTGTAATCGTTCTTAAGAGCAATTCGTTCCCCACGCCATTGGTAAATGTGGTTTCTTATACTGTAGCGAATAACGCGCTCCAATTTCAACCTCGCGTTGCGGGCTCTCGGTAGACGGTATGATGTGCTACGATGCTACAAACAACAGCTCGTCGTCTTTTTAGCGCCATCGGACTGCGCCGCATATCT